TTTTCGTACAACGATTTATCACATACTAGGCTGCACTAAGAAAATTCCCTAGTATACTATGTGTCTACCCATCGCCCCAGGAGGATGAGGTGACCTAGTTTGGCTGATTGGTTTTGCACACTCAATGTGGTGAATTTGCCAAGAATGGGAAAGTAAGTGGATAGCTGGAACGAAAATTTGCACAAGTGTGACATGTAGCGCAAATGTTTTGTTGTCCTCCAGTTTAAGATTAAAATATTCAGCTTATGTAGAAATTTCATTTGTTATATTTGGTCTCGATCGATAGACTGTATTAAAAATGCCGCTCCCTGTCACTTGCTGCCTGGGAAGGACCGCCACACCGCCACACACCCTATGCTACACCTCTGGAAAATATGTTCGAAGTCAGATAGTCGGCACTGGTCAACGATACAAACAGGTAAGGTACCTGTACGGCAACACAAGGCGGGTACTCTAAGACCCAATAATCGACTAATAACCGCGGTGTCAAGCGCTGCTCTGGAGCTCTGGCCTGTTGACCAGGACAAAAGCCTCCAAGCTCAAGGTATCTCTACCTGAGAAGTTCAAACCAGGACCAACCCGGTCGGTCGTGGACTGCATTGTTGGGCGAAAGCAGCTACGAAACTCTCCAATTCGAATGCGGTCCCGTTGACCGAAATGGCATGGGTTTGCTTTAAAGCAAACTGTAGCCTCAATCGAGACTGCATATCGCAATCCGGACACACTGTGGGTTTTCCAAGACCCAATAAACACCGCTTATCTCTACGCAACTTTGATGCTTTAAACGAGCGAGCCGCTCTGACAGCGAACCTGCTTCTGTTCATTTGCATCCAATCGATCAACGGAAATGCAGCCCGAGGCTAAGCGCAATTCCCACACCAGCTTGACCGGAATGTAAGGCCTCTAAATCTCCCAACAATGAGAAAATTCAGTCAATTCGCAGGTTGGGGATCGGAAGGTAATCACGTTACTTGAATCTTGCAGGTGGGTTCCTGACAAGCAGCAGCTATCGATTGATAGGTTCTCCACTATCCGGACAAGTGCTGATTATTGGCCAATTTGTAACAAACTGCACACATTGAGATTTGCCAGTCTTAGGGACGACCGGTGGCTCCAAATAGAGGCAGAGTAACTGACGTTGTCCATTTGGCTGTAAATGAACTTGTCGACTAGACCAGAGTGACGCCCTGCGATTGTGTGTGAGTAGAAAGTAGAAGTTAACGGATTACTGAACAAAGATTGGGAGGGTCAGAAATTAGTGGATTGAAAACACGGGGATAAAAGTGAAGTGAAGTGAACGGGACGATAAGAATGAAAATGCGCAAGAGAAGAAGAGCGGAAGGCTTGCGTAGTAGCGTCCAAACCCCACATCCTCCCTGGATGATGCAGGAAAAAAGACGCAATTTATTGCGCTCTAAGGGGATCAGAGCAATACAGAAGGAGAAAGCACGCTTCT